AGAGAGAGAGAGAGAGAGAGAGAGAGAGAAAGAGAGAGAGAGAAAGAGAGAGAGAGGGGGAGGGATAGAGAGAGATAAAGAGAAAGGGGGGTGGGGAGGGAGAAACAAAGAACAATTTAAAGGCCAGTGCTTCGCTCTTATAGTACAAGGCACCCACACCTACATAGTAATCAAATCCAGAACCTAACCGAACTTAAGTTTTTAATTGTATATATAAGAATATGATGTTTCCAAACTCACAATCCTAGCTTTAACATTGTTTTCATTTAATTCAAACCCGTGTGTCACATTGGATGCCGCTTATTTAGATTTGGGTTTTTCTGCTTATTTGTTTCGTTCACTGCTGCTTTTCTAGCTCACAACAGATCCATATTGTATATCCTAATCCTACGCCAGGTCTCCACGACTGCATAAAACATACAGAAACAGCCTGTTTACTCTACGTGTAAATTACTCAATTTTGTCCTCGATGGATTGATGATCAAAGTTTTGCTCCTAATCTGGATAATTTAGGTATTTCTAGATTTTGTTTGGCGTAGTATGACAGCACACCAGTCCAACTTTTTGGTTTCCTATAAATTGGGTCAAAGAGTTCGACGCCCTAGTGGGGAAGTTATTTCGTCTGTTGTTGGGATGTTATGTCCAATTAAGTCAATCCGGGCCGGTCCTTCCAGACGGCTATATTTGTTTGATGAGGGCGAAAAACGTCTACAGTATAATTTATTTTAAAATACGTCTTTGAAGTTTGTTTAAGTCAGTTAAAGTAATCTTTTATCACATGTTCATAGGACTAAACCCAACGGGCACCCTCTCTTTTACAGGTTCAGGTCAGATCCAGCTGTGGCAGTTTCTCCTGGAGCTTCTCTCCGATTCGGCCAACGCCGCCTGCATCACGTGGGAGGGAACCAACGGGGAGTTCAAGCTGGTCGACCCTGACGAAGTGGCACGTCGCTGGGGGGAGCGCAAATCTAAGCCCAACATGAACTACGACAAGCTGAGCCGGGCGCTGCGCTACTACTACGACAAAAACATCATGACCAAAGTCCACGGGAAACGTTACGCCTACAAGTTCGACTTCGCCGGTCTCGCTCAAGCTATGCAGCCTTCCACCACGGACCCGTCTGCCTACAAATACCAACAAGACTTCCTTATGTCGTCTTACCAGTACCACCATCATCACCACCACCACCACCACCACCCTCACAACCAGAAGCTCAACTACTTAAACCCTCACTCGCCCATCTCCAACACCGCCCCTCCTGCACTCTTCTCTCCACACACAGGCTACTGGCCGGGAAGTCCCAGTTCGAATCTTTACCCGAACATTCCCAACCACCCCATGCCACCACATCCCAGCCACATGGCACCCCCACCACCGCTGGGGCCTTACTACCCTTACGACAGATGGGAGGCATGACGCTCACAGTAGAAACAGCAACACAGGGAATTTCCCAATGAATGGGGAAATCCTTATGACTGGGGAATTCCCGAAAATATGTGGACATTCCATACGGTTAGGGAATTTCCGGTTGATTGGGAAAATTTAAAATATCTGAAACCTTTCCACATATAGTGGTAAAATAAAATCAAATCAGTTTTCTTTTTTGGGGGTTCCAAATGGTACTCAGCTGTGACAATATAAGACGACTGTCGGTAAGAAAATCTTGTGACCCTATTTTAAGGATAAGCTACAAGGAATGCTTTCGACAAAAGAAATGTAATTATACTTAATGCCACGTCGTGCAAACTTAAAATGGTGGCAGGTGCTCGACAGAAAACAGAACACGAACATGTGTCAGGGTGTGATTGTATGTATGTATGTCTCTCTGTGTGTGTGTGTGTGTGTGTGTGTGTGTGTGTGTGTGTGTGCGCGTGTGTGTGTGTGTGCGTGCGCGCGCGTGTGTGTGTTTCTGAAATTGAGAAAGAAGGAGAAAAAGAAAGTAAGA